AGTCTTGGAGATTCAGTGACCTTTTTTAGTTATTTGTTCTGATTACACATGGCTGAGGCGAGCTGGTCTGGGAAGCTCAGTCCTCACCTCCTTCTACAGGTGTGCAGTGGAGAGCATCCTGTGCTCCCGCATCAATGTGTGGCATGGAGGCTGCACAGCTGCAGAAAGAAAAGCTTTGCAGAGAGTGGTGAAGGCTGCACAGAAGACTGTTGGAATCAGTCTACCCACCATCCCAGATATCTACACCTCCAGATGCAGGAAGAGGACCACCTGCATCATGAAGGACCCCACTCACCCAGCACAAACACTTTTTGCCCCACTCCCCTCAGGAAGGAGGTTGAGGAGCATTAAGTGTAAAACCACTAGACTGAGGAACAGCTTCTACCCTGAGGTTTAGACTCATAAATCTCTAACCAGAATAATCACTGTGAAGAATCACATCATGTTGCAGCTGATCTGTTTCATGTTGCAGCTGATCTGTTTCATGTTGCTGCTGATCTGTTTCATGTTGATGTGTTCATTCGTGCTCATCTGCTCACACAGACTCATGTTCATGCTGCTGTTCGAAGTAATGCTTTTATGCTATTAGTGCTTAGTGTATATTTAGCTGATGTTTTTCTTAGTTCATATCTTAGATCTTATTACTGTTTTTCTTTTACATTTTATTGTTGGATGTAGGGCTGGGCCATATCATATCGTTCACGATATGATATGGCCCATATCGTTCACGATATGATATGGTATTTTCTATCCTTAACATGTTTTTTTTGTCTTTCAGGTACACCTGGACCTACCATTCTGTGTTCGTCTGTCTCTCCTTCCTGTCCTCTCAAACCAGCCGGTCATAGCAGATGGCTGCTTGTCCTGAGCCTGGTTCTGCTGGAGGTTTCTTATTTTTAAAAGGGGGTTTTTCCTTTCCACTGTTGCCACTGTGCTTGCTCAGGATGAGAGACTGCAACGAAGCCAAGATTCAACTTGTCTGCTGGATTCCTTAGATAGAGAACTTTACTAATTGGCTTTTATGTGAATGTTCCTGTAAAGTGCCCTGAGACAACTTTGTTG